GAGTTATATCCCAATAGAGAGACAGGTGGAACAGTCCGATTTAATTTGGATTTGTTAGCAGTGTACTGTGTGGGTTAGAGCAACTCGGCTTGGATTCTTATCACGTGGCATGGAATGGGATTTGCAAGGCTTGGATAATGGTGAGATAGGAGACCTAAGTAGGCTGGGTTATTTATAGATGTTGTCAGATGAATTGAATTGATGATGGGTTCATATATATATATATATATATATGATTATATATATATATATATATATAATGATTGATGGTTGTCGTAACCTGCATATGACAAGAAAAGAAAGCCTAGCTAGGCTAGGCTTTTAATTATGATGGGATTATATTTCATTATGCATGCATGGGATAAAGGCTATTGATGGAGTTTTGGTGATGGGTTGAGAAGTCTAAGTGGGTTATAAACGTGATGTGATAAGCCTAGATGGACTTTTATTAGGTTTGAAAAGTCTTGGAACAAATCCCACGGCTCAGTTTGAAGGATATGCCCTGGTTTTTTGGTTTATGGTTTCTTATGCGAATCAACTTCAGGAGTTAGAGTTGCAATTAAACTCTGCAACATTATCTTACCGTGCAAAGCAAGTACTTCAGTCCTATAAATACAGAGGCAGTGGCAACGGAAGAGAGGACCTCCAATTCAACACACAAACTGCCCTGCGCAAACCCTCGTTCTACACGAAACCTCTCAAACATATGGAGATTTTTATTTTCTTTTTCTCGCCAACACATCTTCAGTTTGGATAAACAGCACTGTTGTCGTAGAATCAGCGAACCGTGAAGCATCTTCAGTTTTGATAAACAACACTGCGACAGGGCCGACTGGTTATCTATCCAAGTCTCGGTCGAGAAGGATTTTCGAATCCTTATTGGCAGAGGTCATCTCATTAGCCTTCTCGGCGAAGTGAGGTGTTACAAGTTTACTACATTCGGCACATTGAAAGCCGAATTTGATATTGAACTTCGCAGAACTAGCAGCCTTGTCTTCAGACTTTAGAACCCAAAGGCCGAGACGTGTTCTTTCCTTGGCCGCAGTCGCGAGATTCAGAAGTCAGCAGTGCACCCAACGCAACATCAACATATTTTACTCCTTAGCCGAGCTCGGTCGACGAGTTGGCACGCCCGCATACAACCGAATGACGTAGTTAGCTCATTAGTTACTCGGCCTACGCGCCACGTAGGTTTGGTAGTTTTTAGGGTCAACAGGACTACACGGTCTTGTGCATCAAGTATCATAATAATAGTGGTCAAATACATGAAAATGAATTTTAATTATTAGTATTATGACATTTTACGTATTGAAAGTATTTTTGACATACTAAAAAATCTCTCATAAATAAGAGGCGCTAATGATTTTTCACTCTCAGCTTCTATTTCTACACTTCTTTTTACGTTTTTGCATGTTAATTTTTGTTTGATTAATATCCTAATTATAACAAAGTGAAAAAACTAAAGAGAATGTGAAAACCACTTTTAATTATAAAATCATCAAAATGGCTATCTAATCACCTTATAGGCATTGTAGCTCTTACATGACCTGACTCTGATAAGGATAGTCTTATAAAAAACGTGATCAGATGGTTCTTTAAAAATTTCCTCCTTATAAAATGAGGGTTAGTCGTATTTCCTAATTAGGCTTACAATCGTAATGGACCTTGCCTTTTAAATGACTCGGAATCACCACTCACTCACATTATTGAAAATTTTAGACGCACTTTTAATAATTAAATTCAATAATATATTGGATTGTTAAGTGGTCGTGGACAAATTTCAAACGATGGTTTGATTTATAGCGCATGTAAATCATACGATGATGGCTAGAATGAGACCGAAGTGCCTCCATGAGGCAATGAGTTTTTTCATATAAAGTAAAAATACGTGTCAGTATATAATTAACTTTGAATACCGCTACATTAGCATTTCTAGTGTTGGTAAATTTCTATCTGAATTTGGGGCACGAATTGACCAGTGTTGTGAAAGGGTATCAGAAGCTTCTTTGTGGCAGAACATCATGGTTAAAGATGAGGTATGTGGGTATGCCTTTTGAGTTGACGGTAGGTGGTGAAGAGTGCCTTTTAGGCAGTTTTGGAATATTGGTGAACGAAAAATCAGAGATGCGTGTTGGAGAAAATGCCATGGTTCACCAGTTGAGTCGGGAATTACAAAAATATGACTTAAAGTTGCAACTTTGGAGAGAACTTTGAGCAGATAGTTGAAGCTTTTTGGAGGATAAGAGAAGACGACAGAAGAATTCTAATTCCCAATAGCATGACCAACTAACAGTATCTACGTAGTTGAAAATATTGGGCTAAACTCAGGCGGCTCACAGTCGAAGTGGACCAACAAGAAAATAAAATGTAAACCCCAGCCCAATTAGCCCACTACTCCTGAACCCTTACATATCATATTTTTTTAATACAAGCGATATTCGAAAATGAGAAGTAAGAAAACAGGCGTCCATCACATGCATGCCAAAGCATGTGACTTGATCTTACACAAGTACATTTGCAGCAGCATGGTAAAGAGTACAGCCAGCTCCCTGTCACCCAAACAAACTCACACTAAAAAAATCAGATGAGAAAGACAAAAAAAAAAAAAAAAAAAGAACGCTTCTCAATGATGTCTTTAAATGGTGATTTTTACTAGGAGGAGGAACAATAAGAAATTCAAGAGGATGAGCGTTGACCTGCACTAATTGGTAACGGCAACGTTTTGACTTTCTGCACTCCTCTGCTGCACAACAACATCTCATTCATGGCAGCAGCAAATAGAATCATCACTCCATCATTGCCATTTACTCTCCCAAAAGTCAAAACCCAATTTAAATTTCTAGCCTTTAATTTTTCTCCATAATTATATTCATATATAAAGGAGGGAGTTTTTTCCTTAATCTGAGCTGAAATTGTGAAGCTTTTGAGACCAAAACAATGGCGAATGCCCAGATGATGTTCTTCCTTTTGGCTTTTTTTTTCTACTGTATATTACATGTACAGAAGCCAGAGAAATCCCAGCTACCTCCACAATAGAAAGAAGAAAGGAGTACAGAGGAGAAAATGGAATTGCCAAAATCACTTCCCTAAGTTAATTACCCTTTAATTTTTTGTTCTCATATTAATCTCAATCCTGGTGCATGTTAATTTCAATTAATTTAAGTTTATGTTTATGTTTTAATTTGTAGGAGGAAGGAAGGCTGGATGATGATGCTGCTACTGATTGCAAGGGCTTGAACAGTGAAGAATGTTTGATGAAAAGGTCCATGGTTGCTCACACAGACTATATCTACACACAAGACATCAGAGCTATTGCACCATGATATCATTCATTCCTTTTCCCTATATACTTTGTTAATTTAGTAAATTTTGCTACGTCCTGTAATCTAGGAGATTAAAGGTTTTGTATTTAAGTTGAGCAAATATGTTATCCCATTTCACTTAATGGTGACTCCAAGCTACTTCAATGATAAACCAAAGTGGAAGTTACTGTCTGTTTTGTACACCAGAACAGATTCATTGCATGAGACCTGTGAATTGGGGGCAAAAGGCCCATGGAAGCTCCACGAGGCATTGTTCGTGAATGGGCTCTTTTTACTGTACACCACTAACTATACTTCGTCAACTGTAACTCGGATGGGATCCATATTGATAACATATCGACAATGTATCAATAATGTATTAACTATAACGGATCAACTATGTATATGTCCGTTGAAAAGTTGTTAATGTTGTGGTCGATATGTTATAGATATTGATCTCACTTCAGCTATAATTGAGAAGGATCTTGTTGAAGAGCTTAAGCGAAGAAATGTTGTTGAAGTAGGTTTTTGCCATTTCTTTCATTCACAGGAGAAGAAAGATTTATTTATTTATTTCCAAAATAAAGAAACAGAAGATTTATTTATTTATTTCCAGAATAAAGAAACAGGAGAAGAAAGATTTGGTTTGACAAAATTTTGCAATCTTATTTGAGATTTATAAATATCATATGATGGAAACATCGTCAAAGTCATGCAAAAATATAGACAAGTGAAAGATTCTTGAGTGTCATTAGTTGCATACATAATATTATGTGTATTTTTTCTATGTTATGTTATAACATGACACATTGTTGTGTACAATTGATACTAATAATGTTGAACGAGACTAAGACGCAGGTCAATAAGTTGCTTAAATTAATACTAGGATATGCATCATCACTACATGTGTACGAGTGTTTCTTCTCTCATGAAATCATTAATGTGATCACACACATATTCTCAAGGAGGGGCCTGGCTGGAATGTGAGGCATAAATTATATGGTGGGACTACATCATTAGTAATGCTGCATTATATATGGCAAATGCATGTGGGTGTGCTCCAACAGTGCCAGATAAAAAGGTAAATCCACTGTCGAAGCAGCACCTGAAGCGTCGGCTTTCTTGGCAGGACATTCAAATTCGTTCACGAAAGCAATGATGGAAGCTTGGTTTGGCTGAACAAAGCGAGACAACAGAGACAGGTCAAAATAAAAATTTTAAAAACATTACTGAGAGGGGAAGGTGTGTAATTTTGCTAGCTAGTGGATAAACCTTTTCAAATGTTTTGTTTTCGCATAGTAGTCCTACATTTTTGCATGATGAGCCACCACTAGCACCACCACCACCTCCACCACTTCTTGTCTTTCTCCTGTTCCCGCTGTTAGTCTCTGGCTCACTCAGATTGTTCCCACAACGTTATTGAATGTACTCCACGAACTGATCCCTGCCCGTTATTTTCCCGAATTTAGTACATTCGATTGTATCTATTTTACCTTATAGCGGTGATGGGACAGATTTATCATGTTGCATAGTAGTAAGTACCAAGTGGTAACCCTTTTGTTCTGATCTTTCTAAATGCTGCAATTTATTGTGTATTTATTTTTCAGGTGGTTGGTAGGGTTCTCAGTTGTCAAATTAGAAAAAAAAGAAGATAAAAATGATGATATAAATGATGCAGTGTTTGATAATTCTATGATGGGCTACAAAGAAATATCTCAGTAATTATGACCTGCAACTGCAAGTACATTTTACAGTTGTGTACGCGGCGAGAAGCGCAAACTCTTGCGTGCAACCAGCGGAATACATCCCCTTCTCTTTATCTCTCTTGTCATGTTCGAGTGCATCGATTTTTAATGTGATAAAGACTCCTCTATTAGCCAAGTTGATATCAGATGGTGGCGAAGTGCTTTGAAGGATTAATGTGATAAAGACTAATCTGTTAGCCAAGTTGATGTAAGATGGTGGCGAAGTGCTTTGAAGGATAATAAAAAACTGAATAGCAATTAGAGTAAACAAAAGGGACATAAAGTAGGCTAATGTGCTAATGTTCAAATGTTCTGAGATGGGCCGTGATGCAGGGCACATCTGAATCCAGCTCTCTGAAGGTGGAAGCATTTATATTGTAAGGGCTGCCAATCTGCAGGTTTGTGAGCATTTGGCGAAGGTCGGAAGATTCTTCCTTGAGCCGAGCATTCTCCTCCACAACCCTGTCGCGGGACTCCGAAACGTTGTTCAACCTGTCTATCAGGCTGTGGTTCTCGTTCCTTAGCCGCACCACCTGCGACCACAGCTCGTCGAGGTGCTTCTGCTTCCTCATCCGCGATCTCCGAGCGGATTCTCTGTTGGATATCATTCTCCTCTGCTTCCTCTCTTCGATGACTCTGAGGTGGTGGTGTTCTTCAGCGTCGTCGGAGGTGCTGGAGTTGTAGCTGAGGCTGGAGGATTGTTGAGTGAAGTCATGGCCTGGAGGAGGAGGGATTTGATGGGATAAGTTGTTGAACAAGGTGTTGAAATGGTGGGAGGGGATTTGGTTGTGCATGAAAGCATAGTCGGAGGGATTTCGAAGTGGGATTTCAGATTCGAAGTAGTGGAGTCCTGAGATGATCTCACCTGGAAGCATGGCTCTAAAAGCTGAGAGTTTTTGTTTAAGGTTTTTTATGGACTTGCAGTTGAAGGGCTGTGACCTGTGTTTTGGAGGGCGGGCGATAACAGCATGAAGAGTGAGAGGGGTTTATATAGGGGAGGGACGTGCGGTTTTAAAAGAGCAACACTTTCAGGAGCTTACATAAGCAAGCAAGGGTGGACAATTATTGAGATGAAACACGTAAATGTGTCTGATGTATGTGGGGGAAGATATATATATACATCTTAAACATGGATCATATTCCATCATGGTTGTTGTTGGTGGTATTACAAGACCATGGTATTATGAATTTATGATTCGAACGATGCTGAGGAAAGGAGATTCTAATAAACAGTCGAATATATAAAAAGAGGGATTCGAACAGAGAATCTCAAAATGTGTATGTGTTTTATAAATATGAGATGGGATTCATGTGCATGACCATGCGTATAATTTGGATAATGACTTGGCGTTATATATATGATGGTTATTAGAATAGAGAAAAAATTGATGTGAAGAGATTCTTCAATGTGCCGGAAACATGGTCCAATTGATCAAATGTAATAAACTAATTGATTTCGTAACTTAAAAAAAAAAAATCAACCAATTATATTATGAAACTTAGTGTACCGAACCGTATTTTTGGGACACGAAAACTTTCTCGTTTATGTGCAGGAGTAATAATTATTGTGAGAAATGTTTTGGAAGAGGAGAAAAAAGGAAATTTGAGAAATGAGGTTGAAGTCAAATTAATTAAAGTCGCTAACATTTTATGTGATGACGCAATGAAGGTCAGTTTAAAAGTAAATGATTAAATTAAACTCAGTTTGTGATGATTAATTAGTTCATTTTTGTTTTATTTGTTTAATGGGGAAACTTGATATAACTCCAATTTTTTGAGCCAATAGTAGGAATAGTCAAATTTATTAGAATAGGTCCAATTCTTTAAATTTAATTATTTTATTATCAATAATTATCTCTTAAATGAAAAAATTTATTATAAAAATCAAATTTCTTCCTAATTATCTCTTTGATTATTTCTTTTTATTTATTTATTTGTTATTTCTTGTTCTTCCTCGTGCTTTAACCCATTTATAGATTTTATTTTAATTTTTATAATCAACCTATATCACAGGTTAATTGTATTTATCTACCTATATGACAAATTCTTTTTCATAGTAAACCTGTCACAAATTAATGTGTCTTGCTTGTAGGTATATTATGTTTTTTCTACCTTTTAGTTAGGTTTCATATCTCACTTATAGGTATAATATACATTCATATATTTGCTACTTGAGTTAGGGTATAATGTTTTGCAGATAGATTTATGTTAGTATATTAATTTTTTTGTTATAATATATTAATTAGATATTTTGGAGTTGAAAAATGCATAATATTAAAAAAAATTAATTGATTTTTAATATTTTTAGAAAATATAAAATGAGTATAAAAGAAATAAAAACATATAATTTATTAACTGGACTCACTCTTAAAACTCTATGTTTTTGACCTGGATCTAAAAGCCCCTTGTTTAATTTGGATGACTCATTGAGCACTTCAACCTTGGATTGGAGACCACATGAAGGTGAATTATTACTAAATTATCTAAATTGTTAACATCAAATACCTAAATCCTCCCATCCATTTTCTTTATAAAAAGAATTCTTGTTGAGTTTTTAACTGGCCAAGAACACATCTTTTGCAGAATCCTTTATGAGCTTTGGCAACGTAGTACCGATCAATAGTACTTGGCTTTTCAGCCTCTTTCCTTTTATTTTATCTTACTTGTATGTTAACGCAAACTTTTATGCTCCTGCATGGTGAGTTTTCTTGTCATATGGATGATGGATATGACCTCTTAATATTCTTTCCTAAAACCTATATAATACATACATACATACATACATACATATATATATATATATAGGTGATACGGTGAATTTGAATACGGATTTGCAGGCATAAATACTTTTAGTCGCTTGAATTAAGCATAAATACTATCGGAACAAATTTTGAAAACCAAAAGGGGATAAAAGTATAACGAAAAACAGTTTCACATTACATTCTTTGTGCTCTTTGATCTGGTTTTCCCTATTCTGCTTAGGTCAACCTTTGCTATTTAAGGAAGAAGTGCAAACTTTTATGAGGATTGGAAGGGAAGGAAGTGACACTTATTCAAACAAGGCACTTAAACCATATATATAAAGGATGGTGTTATTTACACATATCTAATTTTTAGTTGTCTGATCGAATGAATTAAAAAAAAAATTAATAGACAAAAATTAATAAAAATATGTAAAAAGTAGAAATGGTGTGTGAATAGCCTACTGCTTATCAATTACCATTGATATATGATGTAGTTAACATGATACCTGCTTTGGATTTTTTTAGGTCATAATGATCTAACTTCCACCACATATTATTATTTATATATGATTTGAAGGTTCAGTGTTCCTCGTCCAAGTTTACAAGTTCATCATTATTCTTTCATGACGACGTATCATGTACTGCCACCCTCCCTCCCCCCCCCCCCCCCCGCAAAAAAAACACACACACACACACAATAAGCAACTCTTTTAACCATACATACTTAGCGGAGTTACCTCTAAACACAATTTTTCACCTTATCGAAACCTCATTTTCTTGTAGCTCTCAGTTTTTCTTTGATCCAGTCAATCTGATAGCAATATGGAGGGGTGTGCAGGAGAACAAAAATAATGTGCATAAATCATTTTCCTACAATTAATTAGTCTGAATTATCAAATCTCGATTATTATATATGAATGACAAATAAGTGGTAGCTAGTTTTTCATATTATATATCTAATTATTCTTGATCATTATTAAACTTTTCATTTTGTGGCTATGCATGACCTCCTCGCAAATTTTGTATAGAAAAGATGAATGCTAAAAGAAGATTAGATCAATTAAAAAAGTGGTGTTGCCAAATCTCAGAGCCAGACAGCAACTTGCAGACAAATATTCTGAATGGCTTGTTGTATATAAAAACATAGTTCAGCATTCTGTGATTCTATCCTTAACCTTTATTAATCACTATTATATAACAATGCATGGTTTAGGTGCTTCCCCACTACATAAAACTTCCATTTTGCTTCTAAATTCCAAAGGCAACTGGATAAGATCAGTGAGTGTGATTAAGGAACAATTCAATAAAACCATCTGCTAAACATGAACCTAAACTCGTGTTCAACTTTTCAATTGAAAGATGGAAATAGCACAGTCCATTGTGTCACGTGTAGTTTCAAAACTTCTTACGATTAGTGGTAATAGCATCAATTTGAATTGCTTTTCAAGATGGGCAAGAAAGATGTACTTTTAGCATATGATGGTAAGAGGAAAATGTTGGGTAATGTAGTCTTATATGGTGTCTTGTCCAACAGTTCAATAGGATAATGTTAATATCGTGATTTACTTTTCATCTTAGTTAGAATTTTATAGACAAACATAACAATACAGTGTAATCGAAATATCGACAATATTAATAATATATACGACATATTGATAAATAATGTATTCATATATTTGTCGATATTAAGCAGCCAACCATGACAAATGGTCATGCATCATGACCCAAGGTTCTCTCCCTGAGAAGAGGTGGCATTGCATACCCTAGTAAAAAAGTAAATCAACAAAGATAAAAGAACTACCTAAAATGTGCCAAACAATTTCCCACGGATAGGCCTATGTAGCTCCTCTCCATGACCAAACATATATTTGATCATCAAACACAACCTCATTATAAATCAAAATAAAAATCCCACAGAGAGAAGAAAATTGAAAATTTTGGGGTCCTACATTAAAAGAAAACAACAAAAGAATAAAGAGAGAAAGCAAAAGACATGATTCACAAGAACATGCAGCCATGGCTGCTACAATGGTGTTCTTCTTTCTCCCAAAGTTTTTGTGTTTTTTTTTTTTTGGCGAACAAGTTTTTGTGTTTGTGCCTAGTCTATATCTATACAAGTTGCAGTAGCAGCTAGCTAGGGTTTTGTAATGGCTGGTGGATAGATACAGATAAAATATGCAGACACAGGAGAGAGGGGAGCATCATAAGAGTGGGCAAAGTGTTGCGTACGGAGGGGTACTGGATTTAACAGCTGCCTATTTCCGGTGCCAAAAATTAAACAATCTGGGAATTTGGAGGGCAACCGATATGATTATTGTGTGTGCACAGTGGGGTCTAATTTGTTTATTTTTTCTTCAAGCTCTCTCGCGTGGGTGCACGGTGGACCAACCCACTAGGGCCACTCTCGGCCATTTGCTTGGCCCGTCAACTCGGCCAGCCCCAGCAAAGTCTGAGGCCACCAACCCACCTCTCTCTCTCTCTCTCTCTCTCTCTCTCTCTCTCTCTCTCTCATGTTCACACACAGAGCTAATTAACATAGACTGATCACATGAGAGTCCTCTTTGAGGCATTATACATGTGTTATATGTCTTGTTAGTCTCCCTTTTGTAGTTTTTTCTTAAACTTACGATTCACAATTTGGTTGATTTTTTTTGCAAATATTAACCTGTAAAAGTGATCCAAAATTTGGATGAAGAAATTTAACTTACGATTCACAATTAAGTTTTTTCATAAACTTACGATTCACAATTTGGATGAAGAAATTTAAGATTATTAAGGAATTTTAAAATGACAAAAATTGAAATGACGGGATTTTATTTTCTAGAATTTGTGAATTTCGTTGTTTGGTTAACCTAAAAAAATAATATAATTGAAAACGGAATTTGTTAATTTTAAACTCCCAATCATAGAAATTGGGAAATGACACCTATTTACATAGAATTTAAACTTGGAAATTGGAGGCCCCAAATTCCAAGTTTTTTTTCCATGCGGAAATTCTAAATTTCTATGTTATAAATCCAAACAAGGGAATTGGTACATGTCAATTTATAAATTCTGATTTTTATCCAAATTTCAAGTTTATTTTCCTCATCCAAACATAGTGTAAAAGTTCATCAGATCAATTGCAGAACAAAATGAAATGCAATTTCTCATTAGGGCAAGTGAATTCAATTAATTGCCCCAACTCTTCATTATTCTTTTGATGCAATCTTGAGCATATGATTGCCATGCATTCCGATACTTAACAATATTCGTC